TAGGGCTCCCTAATTTTAATAAGAAATGTAAGGCTGGGCTCAGTGGCTCAGGCCTGTAATCCTAGCACTTTGGGAAGCCAAGGCAGGTGGATCACCTGAGGTCAGGAGTTTGAGACTAACCTGGCCAACGTGGTAAAACCTCATCTCTACTAAAATTACAAAAATTAGCTGAGCATGGTACCACATGCCTGCAATCTCAGCTACTTGGGAGGCTGAGGCATGAGAATCACTTGAAACCAGGGGGCGGAGGTTGCAGTGAGCTGAGATTGTGCCACTTCACTCCAGCCTGGGCAACAGGGTAAGACTCCATCTCCAAAAAAAAAAAGAAAAAAAGAAATCTGAAATAGCCCAGAGACAAGAGTCTAACTGGTTCTACTCAGCTCTTGATCGAGAGCTCAATTAACTCCATAGATGATTTCTTCTGCTGTGCCAAGAGTTAACACTTACTAAACTGACATGGAGCCCTGGACAGGCCAGCCTGGAGAGAACGAACCATTTGGTCATTGAAGGAATGATTCAATGGCCTTAATTTCATTTTCACTTAAAACATACCAGCCCAAGCACAATGACTCACACCTGTAATCTCAGTGCTTTGGGAAGCTGAGGTGGGAGGATCTCTTGCATGCAGGAACTTAGACCAGCCTGGGCAATACAGCAAGATCCCATCTCTTAAAAAAAATTAGCCAGGTATGGTGGCACGTGCCTGGGACTATCCAGCTACACAGGAGCTAAGGTGGGAGGATCAACTGAGCCTGGGAAATCGAGGCAGCAGTGAGCTGTGATTGCACCACTGAACTCAGCCTGGGCAACAGAGTGAGACCCTGTCTAAAAAGAAAAAAAGAAAGAAATTAAAGAAAGGAAAAATGAAGCCACACCAAAAGCAACAACTTCTTGGTACAGGCCTTATTCTTCTGTCAAATAGCATCTCATTTAGATTCCTAGTTATTGAGGTAATACAAAAAATTTTAAGGTTAAAAAGAAAAATATTTTCTCACAAAGACATGCTCCAAAGCTTTAAGAGAATGAATGGTCATTTCAAAACTAAGCAAATGTATTTCTGAGTTTTTCAAGCTAAACAATCAATGCATGCACATGTAAAAAAAAAAAAAATCCCACACTACAAGAGGGCAGCATAAAAGTCAGTGTTCCTTCCACCACAGACCACCATCCCATCTGCTGCTTTCAGAGAAAACCACACGATTCATTCCCTGTATCTTCTTGGAAATATTAGACATTACACCCACCTGTGTATGTCTCTACTCCTGGATTCTTACATAAAATAGTATCATATAATATACACTGATAGTTTTCAAATCTAGCTGCATATCAAAATCACTTGGGAGGCTTAAGAAACATATCAAAACTCAGACCAAACAATCAACGCATACACACGTTTAAAAAAAAAAAAGAAAAGAAAAAAAAAATACCACACTACAAGAGGGTAGTGTTAAAATGAAAAGTCAGTGTTCCTTCCACAACAGACCACCATCCCCATCTGCCTCCTTCAGAGAAAACCACACAGATTCATTCCCCTGTATCTTCCTAGAAATATTACAGACATTACACCCACCTGTGTGTGTCTATACCCCTGGATTCTTACATAAAATAATATCATATAATGTACACCAATGGTTTTCAAATCTAGCTGCATATCAAAATCACTTGGGAGGCTTAAGACATATACCAAAACTCACACCCTATATCAGATCAGTTAACTCTGAAGCTCCAGGGAAGGGGCCTAGGTGTGAGTATTTTTTATTTTAGGCTTCCCAGGTGGTGCTAATGTGCCATCTGAACTGACAGCCACCGTTGCACACTGTTCTGCACCTCTTTTTCCCCCTTAATATGCCTTTGAAGGGAACTCTAGAACAGCACATACAGAACTACCTAATTCCTCTGTTGTTCTGGATATACTCAACTCTACCATCTATTTAGGCTATCCTTTATTGATAGCGATTCCTGCTACTTCCACTCTTTGGACAGCATTCATTTGCCTCTCTAGAGGCAATCTTCATCCTGATTTCTTCTCTGGGATCCAACCAGCATGGATTTCATCAACAGGGCTTCTGCAACCTCTGGCTTCCTATTGGGTTCACCAATGAGGAGCTCTTTAGAGTAGCAGAGGGAAGGAGAGGGCCAAGGCACTTATTCCATTTCCGAAAGGTCTGGCTGTGTCCCTTGACCAAAGGTCACTGTTCCTGTCAAGGCACCAACTTGTATATCCCTCTGGGTTTTGGTACCACTTTCCTCTCACATCCTCTTAGCTAAGGGTGGTGACTGGGCAGCAGCTGCTAGCCCTGGCTTACTGTAGCACCTCTTGTAATTCCTGGGCGCCATCTCTTATGTAAATAAACCCTCCCTGAGAGATATTATTTTGACTGCACCAAAGTTTCTTCTTAGGATCCTAATACATCATCCTTGTATGAACACCTTTGCCTTTATTTACTTGTGGACAATACATCTTGGTTTTCTCTGAAGACAAGGCTTCTCCTGTACAGGGAAACAAGAGATAATAATGTAGTCTTACTGCAGCTTTTTTATGCCTTTTCTGCGTATTTTTGACAACAGCCAGGGAATAGTCCCATCACCACCTGGCTCCAATTTGGAAAGAATATTAGAAGGAACATTAAAGCAATGTCTTAGTGAGAGCCTCACTGCTTCCCTGTGAAGAAAAGTGATAGACACTAGAAGAGAATTTGATAGTGCAAATATAGTGAATGACTAAGACACTACATTTCAAGATATTTTTTTTTTCAGAAGCTGTTTTCCTTTTTGCCACAATGATGGTCAAATCAACAGAGTCCTAGGCTGGAGAGAAATTCCTGAGGCTAAACTTTTCCCCAGCAGAAAGTGGAGATTGCAATTAGTTTCTAGTCTAATTACCATGATTTCCAGTTGGTTCCAACCAATGGAGGAACAGTAAGGTAGGCGGCTTTGACCAACACTCTCTGTGTAGTCAAATGCTTGTCTTAGAAGACGAGTACTTCTGTTGATTTCAATGTATTTTATTATTTATAGTTAATTTAATTTGGGGTATTTTAAGTCATTTAAAAAATTATATCAATATTTTTAATCTGGGTTGCTTTGTATTACATCAGGATCAAACAAATAAACAACAACCAAAAATAAAAAACAACCAAAAAAAAAAAAAAACATTGAGTGTCCATCTACTGCCACCACAGAAAGAAATCAATACTAGGGGTTTATTCCTTGGTAAAGGGGAGCGGTCTGAGAGCAAATAATAGTAAGAAATAAAGATAGTAGCAGAAACCAATTTTTATTGATTGGTTACTCTGAACAAGGCCATTTACTAAATAAAAATAGTAGTAGAAACCAATTTTTATAGATTGGTTACTCTGAACAAGGCCATTTACTAAGGGTTAGGAAGGCGCTATCTTATAACAACCTTGAATATTGGTATTATTATTATTATTACCATTTCACAGAAGAGGTTTAGTTCAGAGATAGCAAATAACTTTCCCCTGTTACACAGGAAATGGCAGAGCTGAGGCTTGACCCTGGTAGATCCATAATCAGGCCACACAGGCTTTGCCCTGCCCCCGATTCTAAAGCTTACCAAAGCTTTTCACATGATATAACCCATTTCAGTCTTCAGATAGCTATTCGTGGCAATACACTTATGTGTAAACAAAAACTCAGTTCTCTGGAAGGATCTCTATCATAATAATGGCATCCATTATGAGAAATACATTTCCCCACTCAAAAGTAGAGTGTTGATTTAGAATTGCATTTCCCAAACCATGGAATGCTGTTTCAAGAGGCTTAAGAGAATTCTGTAGAAATCATGTACTATGGTCAATATATTCAGGAAATGTAGCATAACAGATGCCCTTTCATGATGGACATATTAAAGGCTCAGAAGTTCTCTAGTCGATAATTTGTTGAACTGGCCAGGCATGGTGGCTCACGCCTGTAGTCCTAGAACTTTGGGAGGCTGAGACAGGCAGGTCACTTGAGGTCAGGAATTCAACACCAGCCTGGCCAGCAGGGTGAAACCCTGTCTCTACCGAAACATACAAAAATTAGCCGGGTGTCGTGGTATGCATCCGTAGTCTCAGCTACTTGGGAGGCTAAGGTGGGAGAATTGCTTGAACTCGGGATGCGGAGGTTGCAGCGAGCTGAGATTGCACCACTGATCTCCAGCCTGGGTGACAGAGTGAGACCCTGTCTCAAGGGGGAAAAAAAAAGAATCTGTTGAACTTAATCCAATGCAGCTCTTGCCTCCTTCCCTTCTTGTACTAGTTTGGGAAATGCTGATTTAGACATCTCTAATCTGTCCACATTGAGGCTCACCCATCATCTTGAGTATCACATAGCCTGGGAGCTATTTTTCTGTCAATATCAGCATCTTGATCTTTTCATGTCACACACACAATAGATAAAAAAATAAAAATATCTACTGGCTTGATTAATTGATACATCCAACCTGCCTTGATTTGTAACCAAGAGGCATGCATTGGCGAAGCAGCTGACTGGGCTTTTGGGGGGAGATTGAAAGTGCAGCGCTGGTGAGCTAATAGGTTCCTGTGAAAAGCAAACCCATCCCTCCTCAGCCGTGTAAGCTGTGACTGATCCCAAAGGCCAGGGGCAGAGCTCAGTTAAGCCCCAGTACTGTCATCACTGCACAATCAGAGGGTGCTGGTGATGACACAGGCTTGGCCTGAGAGCTTTACACGGGGGTAAGTCCTGATTTTAGTCTGGTGGAAGTCCATCAGCTTAAAGCACTAGGTCACTATGCACTATGGCTCTCAGACTTGACCATGTATCAGAATCAGCTGCAGTTTGGTAAAACACAGTTTGCAGGCCCCTTCTTCCAGAATTGCTGATCCAGTAGGTCTGGGGCAGGGCCTGAGATTCTGTAGATCTAATAGGCTCTCAGGTAACACCAATGATGCTGGTCCCATGACTGCATTCTGAGAACCAGTGCACAGAGCTAAGAGTCTGCCTTGGAAGACCAGAGTAATAGAGACCAAATGAAGCCTATGGTAGAACCTGCATGGCTTTCCAGATCCCTCATGCAGAGAAGGAGTTAAAAGCAAGATTCTAAGGCTGTTTCCAACTAGGAATGCTTTCCTAGCTAAGTAAGCATCTGCTTTCCAGATTGACTAAAAAAGGTTTCAAAAGCAGTACTTGAACTCTAATGTACTTTTAATTTACCCAGTTTAGAATCTGAATCTACCAATAAGAAATAATTCTGATCTAATCCTAAATAAGAAAAATAACACGTTAGAGTTCCTTCAATTCCCCTTACAGGCATAACAGTGCTGAAAAGCCATGCAAAATCTTAAGTCTATTTCCTTCCCAAAGATTCTACTAAAAATTTGAGATTTAAAATGTCTAACACTTACTCACACAAATAAAATAGTGTCATAAGGCATTTGAGGGCAGCTAAATTCAGAATGAAATTCAGTCATTCATACTTTTAACGAAACCCCAAGGCTTTAAGCATGTACTATATGTCAGAGCAATTTTTATAAACTGTTTTAGATTATTTAGTAAGATTTATAAGTTTATAGAAAAAATATAGACCCTTTATATGATTTTAGCTTGTACAGGAGAAAAGAACAGAACAATACATGTAAAGGAAAACATTTTTCCATTTGTGATTTCCACTCTGCTGGAAAACAGGGATGTGGCTAGGCATTCAAACAGTGCTCTGCCAGACCTCCTCCCTTACCCCCTCTGCTGACAGGCTGTAGAGATCCAAGTGCCACGGACGGGTCGCCTGGTGCTTGAGGAAGAAATCCTGCTGGGTCACCAAGTGTGAGGGCTGTCTCAAGCAATCTTCATATTTTAAAAAAGAAGAACAACCGCTAATAACCAAACACACTTATCTAATAAAAATCCGATGGGTTACCAGGCAGGAATCTCCACCCTCAACCAAGGGAAGCCCAGCTGGGCTCCTGATTGATGAGTGAGATCTTGCCTAGGGAATGGGAAAGGGGGCCATGAAGCCACTCAGAAAACAGGTCACATCAGTAACAAAGGGAAAATGTCAAGGGAACATGACCTGGTTATGGGTGGGGCTGGGGCCTCCACAGCCCAGGAGCCTGAAGTGACAGAGGGAGGGTTTCTGGCACGTCCAGGAAACAACAAGTAAGTAAGTTGGAATCGCCAACGGCACTGTGAGAGCAAGGAGAAGCAAATGAATTCTCTTGAAAACGATAAGGCGTTCAGGTTATTTCCCAAGTCGGGAAACGTCACCAAGTGTTCAGGCAAATCAGTCTGAAGAGACCTTTTCTTCTTGGAGGTGGGTGAGAAGCAGAATCCTCAATCTACAAGGAAGGATCCTTCTCCGCAGAAAGCTGATCCAACCACAGAGGAAAACTTCCTCTTTCAAAGCCCCACATTCCAAAGGATGACAAATAAAGGCAATTCTAGTAAAATCATAGCTGCCTGTTTGGGTGTAACCCTTTGGCATAAAATAGCATGGAGATGGTAAAATTATTATTATTATTATTTTAAAAATGCCATTAATTATCACTTGTCTAATGCATATTATTCATTCTGTGATTCATTTTGTCTCAATAAATAACAGCTATGCATACAGCTCTTCAGGTGCCCTGTGGGATTTAGAGGTTTCCAAATCTTCCAGGAACAGGGCGTGCCTACCCTAGCTGGTCTTGCTTTAAGGAGGGGTAGCACCTGCCTCTATAGCAGAAGTTTCTTCCTCCTCTTCACTGATAACTTAACTGAGTTATAGCTCCAGTCTCAGATTCAAGGTAGGAGGCTGGCGGGGGAAGGTGAGTGGGACAGCCTGGGACATTTCTCTGCACAGGAAAAATACATAGCATGCTGAGGGACTGGAGAGAAAGTAAGGATAGTGTATGGGGGTAGCCCTCCAAAATAGTATTAATAATTGCCACACACAGTACTAAAATATGTAAATAAAAGATGCTCTTACTTCGTTTTCATGCCACCTTTTTGAGGAGGGTACGATCACCCTATCTTACAGATGGGAAAACTGAGGTATAGAGAGCTAAAGTCATTTGCCTCCTTCCCCTCCAAGTCCCTGTCTCCTTGACTCTCCATTAGTTTTCTCCCTGGGACTTCTCAATATACTGTGTGATATACTGTGTTAAATACTGATTTATCCCCTATCTCCACCAGAATATCAAATCCATGAAAGCAGAAACTCTTTTTTTTTTTTTTTTTTAAATTTGAGACGGATTTTCACTCTTGTTACCCAGGCTGGAGTGCAATGGCATGATCTCGGCTCACCGCAACCTCCGCCTTCTGGGTTCAAGCAATTCTCCTGCCTCAGTCTCCCGAGTAGCTGGGACTACAGGCGCTCGCCACCATGCCTGGCTAATTTTTGTATTTTTAGTAAAGACAGGGTTTCACCATGTTGACTAGGATGGCCTAGATCTCTTGACCTCGTGATCCACCTGCCTCGGCCTCCCAAAGTGCTGGGATTACAGGCGTGAGCCACCGCGCCCGGTCAGAAACTCTTTTTTAAAAAATTTTCTAAGTCACTGCATCTTCAGCACTCAGAACAACTCCTGGGCCACGGTAGGATTTCCACTGATATTTATGGAATTAATGTTGACCAATTAAGCAAAAGATAAGTAAAATTTGAGAGATACCTCCGAAGGCAAATTTTCCCTGAATTTCATCAGACAGCAGCTGAATCAAACTCAGAAGGAGCCAACAATGTTTCAGAGAAACAACTCTGTCTGGAAGCAGGCCTTGTTTATCCTTTGAATTCCAGGGACTGTTCTCTGGCCATTAAGACAGGAGAGGAAGGTTGACTCTGGCAGAATCTGCAGGCGTTTGGCACATGTGTGTCTTTTAGGTCACCAGAAATAACTTGGAAATGTATGAGTGTGTGTGTTAAGAGGGAAGAACAAGAAAAATTAGTTTTATTTATGAGGCTACTGAGCAGTTAGTTATTTTTTAGGGGCGGGGACCACTCAGGCAGAGAGAACTCCAAGGTTAGGTTCCGTCACTGCGGTAATCATCCAGGCCCTCCTAGCCTTCTTTCAATCTTTCAATCTTTGTGGTCTAAAGAAGGCATTCACCTAGTAGTTTCTAATTTGGGGAAATTACTGCAGCATGCTATGTCCCTGGTGGGGCGTCCCCTGTCTTCTTTCTCGGCATTTGTTTACTTCCTCCTTTAAAATCACTCTCTCCCAGAAAGGAATTGGCATGACGCCCTACTGGTCATTGTGGAAGGAGAGAATGACTTATTTCTGCAGCCCTCCGTAAGCACCCAGTGAACGACCTTCATCCTTGGAGGTGGATCAGCCCCTTTTATTCCAGCAGAGAGTGGAGGGTGGTGGTGGTGGGCATGCTCAGGTCCAGGGATGGGTATCATCAGCCAGGCAATGTGGATGCCAGGACTAAAACCTAGGGTTTCCTGCTTTCCATTCCAATGTTTGAGCCACCTTTCTTGTTTGCCTCAGCCATTAGCTATAAATTTTGTTTCTTAAATTTCTTAGAATCTCAGTTACAAGTTGTTTTCTTTCCAAGAAGAGTCTGAAAACTGAGAGGCTAGTCTCCATGCTGCACTATGCTACAGTGAGACCTTTCCATATCTTTCTATTCATGCAGGCAGCTCAGCCCCATCCCAAGACCCCGAGGTCACAAGCTCACAGGCCTTGTGTCCATTGACTATCACTGCATATTAAATCACTTTAAACTCAGTGGGTTCCAACAACCACATTGTGATATTTATCATGAATCTATAGGTTGGCTGGGAAACTTTTGGCTGGTCTTGCCTGACTAACCCAGGTGGCTACATTCAACTGACTGGTAGTCTAGGTATTGAGCTTGGCTGAGAGAGATAGCTGTGCTTCTCTCTCCAGTATTCCCTCAACTTTAAGGAGGCTACAGCAGGCTTCTTTCTGTGTGGCTAGGTTCCAAGAGGATGAAAGAGAAAACTGTGAGGCACTGTGGCCTGGGCTCCGGAAGGCACATGATGTCATGTCCTCCACATTCTGTTGGCCAAAGTAAGTCAAGAAGTAAAGGCCAGCCTAGATTCAAGGGCTCCAGTTCTTAATGAGAGGGGTTGCAAAAATTCTGCGACCATTTTTAATCTACTTTGGGCCTACAGACATTAGCTATAAAAGTGAAGCAGGCCGGCTGTGAGATAATAGAGACCAGAGCGTATCATCTGCTACCAAGTTCCACATTAGTTTAGTGCAGCCCCCTCTTCTGACATTTCAAAAGGAGCTGGAAATCTGGATTTAAAAAGATATATTAGTGGACTTCATTTTTGCAAGCAGCTTTGGGTTTACAGAAAAATTGCGTAGAAGTTTTACACATACCCTTTCTATTTCTGTACTCTGAGTTTCCTTAATTATTAACACCCTGCATTAGCGTGGTACATTCGTTACATCTGATGAACCAATATTGATATTGGCTCATTATCATTAACTGAAAGTCCATAGTTTACATTAGCATTTAGTCTTTGTGTTCAATGGATTTTGACAAATGCATGATGTCTTGTATATATTCCATTCCAGCATCATACAGAATAGTCTCACCATGGAATAAAAATGCCCTGTGCTCCAAATACTTATCTCTGTTTCTCTCTCCCAAATCCCTGGCAACCACTGATCTTTTTATTGACTCCATAAATTTGTGTTTTCCAGAAAGCCATATAGTTGGTATTATATCATACTGTAGTAGTCTCAGACTGACTTTTTTTTTTTTTTGAAATGGAGTCTTGCTCTGTTGCCCAGGTTGGAGTGCATGATCTTGGCTCACTGCAATCTCTGCCTCCCAGGTTCAAGTGATTCTCCTGCCTCAGCCTCCTGAGCAGCTGGGACTACAGGTGTGTGCCACCACACCTGGCCAATTTTTTTTGCATTTTTAGTAGAGACGGGATTTCACCATGTTGGCCAGGCTGGTCTCAAACTCCTGCCCTCAAATGATCTGCCCACCTCAGCCTCCCAAAGTGCTGGAGAATTACAGGTGTGAGCCACTGCACCCCACCAGACTGACTTCTTTTACTTAGCAATATGCATTAGAAGTTTCCCCATGTCTTTTCATGGCTGGAGAGATAATTTTTTAAAATCATGGAATAACATACCGTTGTCTGCATGCACCATAGTTTGTTCATTCATTCGCATATACTAACAGACATCTTGGTTTTGGCAATTATGGATAAAGCTACTGACAAAATCCATGTGCAGGTTTTTGTATAGACTTACATTTCAACTCATCTGGGTAAATACCAAAGAGCATGACAGCTGGACTGTATGCTTAGAGTATGTTCGGTTTTGTGAAAGACCACCAAACTGTCTTCCAAAATGGCTGTATCATTTTGTATTCCCACCAGCAATGAGTGAGAGTTCCCCCTGCTCCACATCCTTGCCAGTGTTTGATGTTGTCAGTGTTCTAGAATTTTGGCCATTCTTGTAGGTGCGTAGTGGTATCTCACTGTTGTTTTTATTTGTATTTCCCTGAAGACATAAGATGTGAATTGTATTTTTATATGCTTACTTGACACCTGTATGTCCTTTTTGATGAGGTATTTGTTCATATTCTTTAGCTCATATTTTAATTGGGTTCTTTGTTTACTTATTATGGAATTATAAGAGTTCTTTGTATATTTTTGACACTGGTCCTTTATCAGATGTGTGTTTTGCAAATATTTTCTCCTAGTGTGGTGGCTTGTCTTTTCATTCTGGTTTTTCATAGAGCAGAAGTTTTTAGTTTAAACAAAGTCCAACTTAACAAGTTTTTATCTCACAGATTATACTTTTAGTGTTGTATCTAAAAAGTCATCATTATACCCAAGGCCACCTAGGTATCTTCTAAAAGTCTTATAGTTTTGCATTTTACACTTAGATCTATGGTCCATTTGGAATTAATTTCTGTGAAAGGTATAAGGTCTGCATCTAGATTCATTTTTGTGCATGTGGATATCCAGTTGTTCCAGCATAAAATCTGAATTTTTATGTGAGGACTCCTGTTTTTAAAGGTTCATTCAAGTCTTTTCTTGGTGGTAGTGGTACTGGAGGAATTATAGCTCCCCCTCCTCTAATACACATGTCTGCAGAATGCATTTATCCATCCTGGATAATCTCTGCCTCCTTCATCCCTCTTACCTGGAATGCTCTTCACCCATCCACCTAAGTTTTTTTCTAATGTCCACCTCACACTCTATCTACCCGATTTTCCCACTACTTCAACCTGGTGTATGAGTTCACCAGATATTCAGTTCATAGTGGCTGAATGCTGAACACACTATAACTTGTCCCCATTAGCACTGCCATATACCACTCACTGCCTTTCTTCCTTAGCTAAACTGTGAACTCCTGGAGAAGACAGGAACCCTCCTTTTCTGGTTTACTCCAGGTAGCTTAGCATGCATGGGTCTGGGCATAAAATAGGTTCAGCCACAGCTGCTAACAATTTCAGACTAGCTGGGCGTTGCTCCTGACTTACCAATTGTCCTTTGTTCTTCAGGAGAGATGGCTACTTCAGGAGTCAAGCTGAGGACCTGCCAAAGATTTAAAACCAGCGGCCTTGCCCTGGCACAGGTAGAATGATGGCATCTCTAATTTTGATGCCTGATTTAGCATGACATTCATGTAAATAAGAGGGCCCTGAAGTCCTTGGCGAATTAGAGAAGATTAATGATACCGCAAAATGTATTATCAGAGTTACCACTGTATCATGAGTAACAAACATGTTTCTTTCACTATGATTGCTATCTGGTCAGAATGTTATCCCGGTCATTATGAAAAATAGTGACATAAAGGAGTGAAATAAAAGGAACAGATAGCTTCCTGGTGACTGGTTTCCTACCTCATGCCTATTTAATAGTCAAGCTACTGGTAATCCTCCTGGCCCACCTTTGTTCTTCATTTTCATCTGCATCATTAAGTGTTCTCACTGGAGGATCTCTGGACACTTCAAACTGAACACGATGGAGAGAACGAAAGGGTCCACAGCTGAGGCTGAGACCCAAGAGGTCTCGGGTGATGGTTACTGTGGCACGTCTGTGTGCTGACAGATTTCTCGAAATCAATTTGCTCAGGGAAAGTACTGTGCGTCCATTTGTTAGGACTGCCTAACAGCCATGCAGGATCCACACAAGCAAACCCCAGGCAGAAAACATCAGGCAGGCAGGAACCCAGGAAAATCACCTCACTGCCTTGGGTTTGAGAAGTGGCTGTGAGCCTGCCTGCAGAACTTATGAGGGTCTCTAGCATGGCTCCCACTCAGGGCCATGGCAGACGCTGGTATAAGTGCTGGTACTGGTACCTCAGGAACAACCTTCCCTGACCTCAAGACTCAAAGGTATCAATCAGCAACTCACTCGGCTTGGAAGGACAGCAGTCTTCTTGAAAGTACACCCACACTTTTTCTTCTAGTCCTCCTCCAGAGACAAACAAGTAGAACAATTCTTGTTATCACCCTCCCTTCCCCAGGAAAGCCCCCCAGATCCACAGGCAGGGAACAGTCCCTCTGGATGGTGTGAAGTGGGCAGAGCAATTCCTAGGATGTTATGAAAAAAAAAATCGCATCTAGATGCCTAAAAAATAAAAAATCCCAAGCCTTCTCCTCCGGGACCTGTTTAAAAGACACAACCCCCTTTTCCACTTAGCTGCTTAAGCAACCTCTTTGTACACACTGTACTCAGCAGTGACTCAGGGGCCCACATCTATGAGCCACTGAAAAAAAAAAGATTAGTGGCTGGCTAAAATCAGGGGATGTTAAGCAACCTGGATTAGAAATTCAACCTTGATCATGCACAGCAAGAAATAACTTCAGCAACTGCTAGGTACAGAAAATTAAACCAACGGAAGAAAAAACAAGTCAAGAAAATAGAATCTCCCTGAAGTCTAGGAAAATGGGTATAGGAGAGCCTGAGAAGGCCAAACCTCAAGGCAGGAAGGCTCCCTAGGCAAGCCCAGCCATGGAGAACCAGAAGAGACTCACTGCCCGCCCATAGGCGGAACAAACTCAATTATTTTGAGTTCCTGAGGCACTGGTCCACTTCTTGGTGAATGAACATGTGATTTACTACTCAACAGGCAAATAATTAAACTTCCTGAACATCAATATGATTTAAAGCTGCCAACAACTTAACAGACCTGATATTCTCAGTTTAAGATTTCATCCTATAGTCTAGTTACATTTTTACTATGTACCTCTTAAGTCCCTTTTGGAGTCATCTCTCCTCCCAAGCATTTAACAGTGGTGCAATCTCGGCTCACTCCAACCTCTGCCTCCTGGGTTCAAGCGATTCTCCTGCCTCAGCCTCCTGAGTAGCTGGGATTACAGGCATGTGCCACCATGCCCAGCTAATTTTTGTTATTTTTTTCAGTTGAGACGGGGTTTCACCATGTTGGTCACGATGGTCTTCATCTCTTGACCTGGTGATCGCCCACCTCAGCCTCCCAAAGTGCTGGAATTACAGGCATGAGCCACCGTACCAGGCCACCCCTTAGTGTCTTCTAAGGCAAAAGTTATCAGGCGCATTTTGCAGATTTGTAAATATCTCAAAGCAACTGAATGGCAGGGTGCTGTCATGAAACAATGACATGCGGAGGAGCAGGAAAAGGTTACTGACATCCTAGCACCTCACTGCCATGCTAGTGTCTCCCCAAGTGAAACAACTGCCCTGAAGACAGTCTGTGGCTGAACCTCAATCTATTTTCACTTACAGAAAGGCAAAATCATCTCTGTTTTTCCTGAGTCTTACATAACTGTAGCTGAGAGTCCAACTGTTCTGGTCATGGCCTCACATTCTTTCTGCAAGGGCTTTAGTTGACAAGATTTATGGGGTGGTCTAAAGAAGCATGTGAAGCAATGTGGGTTGAAACAAAGAGGGAGAACTTTCTGATCCTAGCAGAGTAGATCTAGTTTCTGCGGAGGGTTAGACAACCAGCCCCCAGTCTGTCCTGACTGTGGGTGCCCAATGCCCAAAATAAAGCAAAAAGGGTTCCTTTCTGTCATAGTCTCTGTTAAGAGGCCACAGTCATGCTAAGGTTTGAGGATGTGAAGACACAAAGGGCTCCTGGGGGCTCTTCCTTATGGAAGGGGACACGGAGGTAGCGTCAAACATTCCCAACATAGTCAGTGGGGAGGGAAACTGAGATGACACGGATGAGAGAAACAGACTGGGCCACGGAGTTGCTACAGCCCCTGGATGTTTGCAGATCTTACAGAAATTGCTTTTCATGCCCAGCAGCCAGCACAGGCAATAGCTATCACCAAAGCCATCTCAGCAGGACGGTAAATAAAAATCACCAAGGCTAAGAAGCAGTATGTTAAGAGTAACGACTCCCTCTGAGACGATGATGCTTTAAAAACCCACAACAAGCCAGTTGAGCTCCCAGTTTAGGGAGAAGGTTTAAATAATGTTCAGGGGACAATGGTCCAAAGCCAGATGGAGCCAGATAGCAAATTCTGGGTGGAATGGCTGACCAAAGCCCTTGTGTGGTAGGCAGCTGGACATCATACTTACAGTGAGTTGGGCCGGGTGGGTTTGACCACATTCAGGTCTGGGTCACTGGAGTTCCTGTTGGGCTGCAAGCTACTGCTGGAATTAAGGATGCTGTTTGGATTTGATGAGACAGATTCCAAACTGGAGTTGATGATGCTGTTCCTTTGTTCCTCTGGGGGGAAAAGCCACAAGCCCAATATTAATATTATTACATAGAGACAATCTATTGCTACATGCACAAAAATTTATAAAGAATAAGACTGGATTGAGATCTCTTATCCCAAGGAAGCTTAAGAAACAACATAGGAAAGGTTAAGAATTCAAAGTGGAAAACGAAGAGTCAAGGGGGAATATGTGACTCGAATCGTTAAAGCAAACCCTCTTCCTCTCATAACAGGATATATCTCCCCTTCAATATAAGCCAGGATTTTTCCTAAGAGTGGCCCTACCATGGCACAATAAATTGCATCTTCTTTTGACTGGCAGACTGTCAGAGTAGAGAGCAGCCTTCATAGCCCTCACATTCACCCAGATCCCCTTGGCTTCTGTGACACTCACCTTTTATTCTAAAACTCCTGCCTCTAATATTGCCCTAATTGATCAGGCCGTGTCCCACCTCTAATTCCACAGAGCCTCACCAGAGAAGATCTACTGTTTAGCCGCCAACGTCCTTATGACTCCAAATTCCTGACCCTTTCCCAGTCACATCTTTCTGTGTTGCCTCTAGTTCCATGTATTTGTGTTTAACTTCATGTGAATTCTTTGATAAATCACTCTGTAACGGGCTGCAGAGTGGTTTGCCTATAAACAACAACAAAATACCCAAGTCCATGGTCCCAGGAGTCATATTCATGCTTGGAGAATATTGCCAAGCCGAGAGACAGAAAACCTGAGTTCTCTTCAAGCCCTGACTGGCTATGTGGACCTCAGGCAATTTCTGCTTGATCTTGGATTCTTGGTTAACCATCTATAAAATGGGGAGAACAAGAGCTGCCTTTCACAGCTTGTGGAACTGTCATGAGGATCAAGTGGGATCATATGCAGGAATGTATCTTGTAAACTTCAGAATACTGTTCAAAGAAAAGAACTTTATGTTCTTCCCATCTTTAAAAACTTGGAGTCATGAATTGAAAACACAATTTTTAGAGATAATTTAGTTACATAGTACAGGCAGCCACCACTGCTACAGCAAAATATTATAGCTGTGGAATGTGATTCTTGTCCCCTATTCACTACAGATATACGATATTAAAATCAACTGATATTTCTGGCAATTAATTCCCTTAAATATCACATCTAGGCTAATCCTGGACCTTTTTGCAGTAAGTCAGAGGTATGTTAGAATATATCCCTTAGACAACAGACTAGAGTCACTGGTATGATAATTTAAAGGCCAACATTTGAACTCGGGTCTCTTTAGATAATAAAGACGGTTATATGTCATAAAAATACTCTTCCCTTTGCACAAGGCATGTCTCTAAAAGTAAAGTATGCTTATGAAGTGATTTTACAGTAAGCCTCACGTTAGATATATACACACTCACCCCAATACCCCTGATATCTTAGCAAATCCTTAATGCCCTGGATAAAGCCCCACAGGAGAGATAAAAACCCTATGAGGTTACCTCCTGACTCCTCTGAATTCAAAGTAGATTTTGAAAGAAGTAGATTAAATTAATGTCTGAGATTTAGAACTGTTCATATTTTAAGAGCTTAATTTTTGAACAGAAACGACAACAAAGAGAAACCAAAAGAGGTACACTGAGCCAAGATGTGGGAGGACTAACAGGGCCTGTAAATGGGAACTTCCTGCCAGAAAGAAAAACAATGCTAAGATTACATAATAAGGGGATCACTGAGAGATTGGATGTGCCATTTATCAGTATGAATCAGTATCAGTAAAATTTTCCTTTTCACAAAACACGCACACAAAGATGCCCAAAAGACCATGAGGAGCTCAAGACTACCATATAAAGAAAGAGAGTGAGGACAGCTCCCTCAGCTTCAACAGGAGACATTTACTGCTTCATAGGAGAGGACAGAGAAACAGTTTTATTAACTCTAGTTTGAGAACTAAAAGGGCCAAGCTTGCATGACATAATTCTCTGAATTCTTAGGAAACAGAAGAGCATAACTATCGCTCACATTTCTCCTGTGATTATATTTACTTTTCCAGGAGAGGGTTATCATTCTACAAACTAAAAACAATATCTAGCTAAAAGTACATTCGTCTTTCTAAAATGTTACCAGGAGATTGTTTTTCTCCCTTATTATCCATTAAGAAAAAGGAGGGTATAAAAATGTATCATAAGGCTTCATAGTTTTACAGCCAAGAGGGCCCAATATGCATCCTAAGAGGCTGACTCTGTATTGGTAACCCTTACTGAGCCATATGACAAGAAAACCCAAAAACCTGGCACTCCCTGACTATAAAACGACTATAATTTTGTACTAGATAGGTTTCATCATCTGTAGACAATACATCATGAGACTGAGAACATCTAGGTAAAAGATCTAAGCTGAAAGGCTGACAATCTTTACTGAGAGTGAATAGGCAGAAGAAGATTACTCCAGGGAAACGGTGGAGAATAAGATCAATAGCCAATCAAATGTTTTAGTGGTTATAGCAAACTATACCAAGACAAATTTTAAAGCATGTGGAATAAATTAAGAAATAAAGAGAAAATGAGCCAGGCATGGCAGTTTATGCCTATAATCCCACCACCTTCAGAGGCTAAGATGGGAGAATCGCTTAAGGCCAAGAGTTTGAGATCAACCTGGTAAACACAGTGAGACCCCATTTCTACAAAAAAAATTAAAAATTAGCCAGGCCTGGTGGTACACACCTGTGGTCTCACATACTTGGGAAGCTGAGGCAGGAGGATTGCTTCAGCCTGGGAAATTAAGGCTATGGTGAGGAATGACGGCGCCACAGCACTCCAGCCTGGGTGACAGAGCAATACTCTGCCTCTTTTAAAATAATAATAATAATAAAGAGAAAATGATTCAGTATTGTCACTCAAAACAGGAGAGTTTTTCATCAGCTGGGCGAATGAGTACTACTCCTGATAGAAGTGCACAAGAACAGGCAGCCTAGAAGACACTGAAAATATAAAAATAAAAATTAAGCAAATCCTTCAAATAACATAGCTAGACTTCCCTGAGTCACTGATGATTCAATCCAGCTCTGGTATCCTCATAGAAGGCATAAGAAGGACTGATGGCAATTATGTTGCTGAAGGAAAAAAAATTATAGGCTAGTGGGCTTCAAAAGAAAAACAGTTATGAGTCAGGTCAACAAGATCATAGAGGACCATGACAAAGAGAGAAAGCATCCGCACAACTTGAGTATGCCTAAACTGGTGGAAGTCAGTGGGAATGCTTGCCCGCCTCAAACATGTTTGTCAACAAAAATCTCTCTTTGTATTAATCACAGAAAACAAGGGCACAGCAACAAGAAAATGATAAAATAAACCCCCAAATAATGGAAGGCATGCACTGGCAGTGCCTTCACGAACATGTATGTGTTCTGTAAGGAGTGACAAACTGGGTATGAATTTGGTCCTTAAGGATGCAAACTATCCAAGGGCAGGGACATGATGTCTGGCCATACAGCATCCATTAATGTGGCAGGTGAGGTCAGCATTAGCTATCTATTCCTGGTGCCTAGCCCACAGGTCATTTACACTAAGGTTCCGTGAATGGTTATTTATAGGATAAATGTTAAATATAAGGGAATAATACACAATCAAAAATTTATGCTGCTGGAACATAAAGATGTAGTTTTATGTTACTGAATTTTTCAGGTGCTTTAGACAGGGACCACTAATGTCCTTGAAACCAAAGTACTGATGACAGTGGGCAGAGTTTTTGTTTTTTGTACAAATCAGGAACGGAAAAACATGAGTATGCAACCAAATCACTGCAACTAAAAAAGGAAAGTCGCAGAATAATTTTGGTGATATTGTACTTGTTCTGGGGGTTGCCATGGAAATCTGGGAGCTAAGTGACTTCACTTTCCATATTTACCAAGTGACTCCGACCCACTCTGATGGCAACCCCATCACACATGGGAGACAGGAGCTCTGTTTATCACAGAACCCAGAGGCGAGGCCAGGAAAGCACTCACAGAGCCAAGCCAAATTCACATGTCTTGGCAGGCCTGAACAGGTCTGGCTCACTGAATACACGGCGCTGGAGGGTAAATATAAAACATTTGCAGGAGGTTTCTCACAGTGCATGGGACTCTGTCAGAAGACAAGTTCATATCCCAACTTTCCATGGTGCCTAAGAGGAAAGGGCAAAAGGAAGAGGCAAGAGGACTGCTCTTTAACAGCATCTCAGGATGCCTCATAGAGCCAAAAGGAGGCAACAGACTCTCCACATGATCAAACAAGGAGAAAAGGGAGTTACCAGACAGAGCAAAAGTTCTGCAAAGACACAGAGATTCACATAAAAAATAGGAAGACAAATGCAAAATACCCAGAGGCTTTCCTGTGCTGTGGTCAGAAGAGAGGTGTACTTTCTCCTGCTTGTTAAAGTTTTGCAATGAAGTCTGTAATGTATCATCTTGACAATATGGGATGATAATAGCATGGCAGCTTAATGAATTTGGCAATAAAAAATGATGAGTGCACAGCAATTTCTGAGTCTACCATCTCTGGGAAACACCCAAGTACATGGGAAGCTTGGAATGAAACTTTCTGAAGCAATTTTCCCCCCTGTAGCTGTTGTTCCTGATAATAGTGATATGCCAAGTCACACTAAAATCTGAGGTGGTCTTATTTCAGGCTGACCCAGCAGCTTCAGTCCCTACGATAAAAATAATCTTAAAGAGCAGTCTGGGTAATATGTTTGGGTATATAAAAGTGGTCTGGGCAATGTTTTAAAAAAAATCTTAAAAAGGAGTTTAGGAGATGATGGACGACACAGTGAGTTGAAAAGTGAAAAGTGGAGTCAATCCGTTGTTTTGATCACAGCACATGGCAGATAATATTAAAACTTTTGACAGATTATCTTCAGCAAAACGACTTTTGATTTTGGTTCTGTGTGGACAGACTGAGTCTCTCCCCACCGCACCTCTAATAACCCTTTTCTTTGCAAAGGGAAAAAATGCCAACAAAACTGAATTTCATGAGACAGTGAGGAAGTCACTGCGTCTGGCCTGGGATT